CAGCCGTTTCATAAAGCAGAAATGTTCACTTTGTGGTTTTTGGTTCACCATTCAATCTGTTAAATGTTCATTTCTCCTTCTGACTTCTGCCATACCATGACCACAGGCCAATAAAGCTGGTAATTAGTCTTGAAAAAAATAGCAGTGGTAGCTACAAAAATTAAGATTTCTTTGGTGTAATTATCATTTGAAATGTCTAAGATTACCTGTAGTTAGTGTAGCTGATTGCATGTGAACCCAGAATTTCATGTCCTCAAGAGGAAGAACATTTCAATGGATATGAGGTTTCATCTGGTTTCTAAAAACATTAAATGCTCCTGAAATCTTCTTACCCAAGTTTTGTGATAATGTATCTATTTGAAACCCTTACTGGCTAAAGACCACAAGCAGCTCTTGACATTAGGAAAGCAGTTTTTAATGACAGTAGCAAAAGGAGATAATTGTAGGGACGAGTGGGTAAACTTCACCAAAATCTTAATGATTTTCATTAATTTAGCAGGTGTTTCCTTGAGGTAGGTACTTCCAGTGTTGTAGTCTAGTCTAGTTTTTTTCTAGGGCTAAAACAAAAAGCATTTCAGTGGGTCAGGAAAGTGCAATATTAAATAGTCCTGAGCACATACCTAGTTAGCAACATTTGACAATTGCTGTGGAATAGAATTTTTGTAAATACAGTGTCACTAATGGGTGGGAATTCAGCCCAAAGATTTAGCTGAGCAGATGTTTACAACATAGCATTAGTTTTGCCACTTCAGGCATCTGACCCAGAGAAATCTTGACTTTCTTGAGAGGGAAACATAAGTGGGCGTCTTCTGCCCACTGCAGACATAGCCTTTACAGCTGTGTAAAAGTCATATTATTTAAAAGATATTTGGGAAGGCTTTTCTATGTCTTATTTCCTTCTGTTTCACTAAGCAAAGGACCTCTCCTACTTCCTCCTCTTTCTGTTGCTTTGTTTAGGTAGATACTAGAATTAATACACAGGTTCACTGATGTAGTGAAAGATGCATCATTAATGTGGACACCAGCCATTAAAGTGCTAGATATTCTTTGTGTGTTAACTTAATAAATACTTAGAATATTCCATTTTTTGCTGTACTTGTCATGACAGGAAGTGCAAATTGGCAGGAGGTGAGTGTCGGGACGGATGCTTGCAATAAAATTCCACATCTGTGTTGATGTCATGTGCAGTGTCAGTCTGTGCTGCCTCTGGTTTTCTGAACATGGGTATGGGTGGCCAGAAAAGCACAGGATCCAAATGTCAACGTGCTCCATCGAGCATCTGTATCTGTGGGGTTAGAAAAACACCCGGCTGCTTTGTGGTGTTTCAGTTCACTGAGTGGGTGTTCCCATTAGAAGTGTGAAAACACTGCAATTTCTGATGGGTTCTTTCTGCTGCCAGTGATGCATCTCTTCAAACAGGCAGTAAAAATGGGTGTTTGTGATTCAATCTGAGCAAGTTAACTCTTAGAATACACAACAGCAGAGCCCCCAGTGTCCAGAGAAGTTTTGATCCATTCACTCTTCTTCCCTCTTGCTGATGTGGCAGCACATCATGAACAGCTGGCACAATGCATTGCAGAGCACATTGCATTCCAGGGAATCTTCAAGTACCTCTCCCCGTGTCAGGGTGTGAGGTGCTGTGAGAATTAACCCTCCAGAAATGCTGATGGTTTTGCAGGAAGCGCTACGACAAGGCCGAGTCGGAGTACGTGGCGGCCAAGCTGGACCTGCAGCACAAGACGGAGATCAAGGAGCACCTCACGGAGCACCTGTGCACCATCATCCAGCAGAACGAGCTCCGCAAGGCCAGGAAGCTGGAGGAGTTAATGCAGCAGCTGGATGTGGAGGCAGATGAGGAAAATTTGGAGCTGGAGATCGAGGTGGAACAGATGCTGCAGCAACAGGAGGCAGAGGCAGGGAGACAATCCAGCCACGCGGGGACAGCCCAGGAGAACCCTGCTCCCGGTGGTGTGGGGCAGGAGAACCAGCAGGCTGACCACGCTGCTGCCGCTTGTCCTGCAGTTTCTGAACAATCTCAAAACCCCAGGACCAAATCCCTTTCCAACGTGAACAGCCAAGCTCAGGCAGTAAATGTGACTTCAGGAAGCTCCCCAGCTTGTTCTGCCACATGACTGCTGGACACAGATAAGCCAGTGGTTATGGATGAGGCACTCCCTGCAGGCTTGTGGCTCTATGTTGTATCTGGGCTTCAGCAGTGCCAGTAATACACACTCAATTTCTCTCTTCCTTTTTACTGTTTTCAAATTTTAAAGGCTCTTTTCTTTCCACAAGACGCATTTGGGGTTCATCATCTCTCATCATTCTGGTGTATGTTCTACTGCCCAGCTCTTCATGGGCTTTTGTACCTTCCTGAAACAGGACACTTGGAAGTGAACAGTAGGGTTTGTCCAAAGATTTTCAGCTTTTTGATACCCACGGATGCCTGTTCTGAGCAGTGTGCAAGAGAATGATACCTACAGGAGAAACCTTGGTCTGCTTCAGAGCACATTCTGACAACTGCAATGGGATGTTTGTCTTCCTTTGTATCCATAAGGGATTAGTTTCCAACGGTTTCTCATGCTGTGAAAGCCAAGTGCTTACATTAATTGCCTTCATAGAGGTTTCTCTTTCCTGATTTAAGGGAAATTTGCATATTGAGGCAAACTGCAAAGTCAGTCGTAATACCTCGTGTTTATCGCTTCTCCTGTTCCTTTCAGGCCATGCTGAATCATGAAGCTGTACATTGATAACACTATTAGCTGTGAAATCACAGCTGCTAGGGTTTAGCAAAAATTATGGGTTACAGTTTAAGACATTGCAGAACGTAGAAGTAGAAACACACGAAAGAGTGTGTTACATTTAAAGCTGTTCCATTGCAGAGATTTTCTCTGTTGTAGTTGCCTCAAAGTGACAATAATTAGCCATAATTAGCCAATAATTCATCTTGTAATGAATAATCCCCAGAGTATATTTGAAACAAGCATATTTTTGTAGAACATTTAATGCATTTTCTTGCCTGAAGAGCAGGTTAGTACCCCACAAAAGTTCAGCTGATTTGCTTTATTGCTGTTGAAAGGCTTTAAAAAGCTATTCCAGGTGGAGAAAGCCTCAGGAATCAAAAGAGAACATAGGAAAATCTCCCATAGACTGATTGCAGCTGCAAACCATGGGGACTGCACTCACAATTAACCTCTTGGTATCAGGGAAGTGTGGGAATGGTTCCTGGAATACCTGACCTGGACGTGTTGGGTCCGAGTTTATGAATGAGTTGCTGAATGACGCCACCGAGTCTATAAATGGGACAGTGATTGTCTCTATGGCTTGAACAGTGGAAAAACATGTCACTACATTTCACTTTTATTCTATTAATAAATCAGTGCATCTTGTACACAGTGTGTTTACTTTCAGTTGTGATATCTGAGACTGATAGAGGGATCCGTGTTCTTCCACAGGAGATGATAAATGGTAGAATCAGATACGTCCTTTGGCAACTTTCCGCTGTGTGAAAATAAAACCTCAAAAAAGGCTGTTCCAAAATACAGGGATGCAGGAAGTAAAGACATGGCAGGATACAGCTTGGCAGGAATCTTTTCAATTAACTGGCTCAGGGCAACCATGGAAAACCTCTCTTGGTGCCTTCCATACACAGGAGAAAGTGAATACATTGATGAATACATTTCCTAGAGCAGCCACTCATCATTTGGGCTAATTTAAATAGAATTTAACTCCAAAGTGGTGTTAGAAATACGTATGAAGCATTGCTCTGTTGTTGCTGGTACACTTCATTCCCTGTTATTTTTCTGGAGAACCTGACCTAAAGGCAGAAGATTTGATGGTGTTGTGAGAAAATTGTGACTGACTTCCTTTGCTGTGTCTGCTGTTGCAGGACACCTTGTAGCGACCTGCTGACGGTTTTCAGAATGGGATACCAGTAAGTGCAGTAATAATTTAATTGTACCATTCTCATTTCCATCCTCTGCAGCTGTCCCCAGCTGTTCCTCAGGAGATTCAAAGGCCTAGAGGATAGCTCTGTTCCTCATTACAGTTGTGTTCAGCACACTGGGGACACACAGAAGAGCTTCTGACAGAAGAGTTGAATTGCAAAGGGTATTTACAGAAATCACACCGACACCGTTTTGGATATAATTTATGGTTCTCTGGTAGGAAAAAATGTGGTTAGACTATTTCTACACCTTGTTGTCCCAGGTAAGATTATTTGAACTCTGAAAATGGTGTTCCAAAAACTTCCAAGTCCAAAGATTTATGTTTTTTTGGACAACTGCTTAAGGTTATGAGTTTCCTAGAAGGGAGTAAGTTTATATGCAACAAAACTTAGAGGCTGAAACATTCTTGTGTACCATTCTGATAGAGCTGGGGTTGTTTCTGCCTGAGAGGGCAGGTGCTGTTACAATCAGAAGTTTCTGGTCTCTTACAAGTCCCTTGTTGAAGTTCTGGCCAGTTCTCTCTGTCTTTAACTTCTGAGCCTGCAAAGTGAAGTGGACTGGCTGGAAGCCACGTGAAACAGCCTTATGGAATAACAATAGCAGCCCAGCATCAGGCTGCTCTTGCTGGACAGGGAGCTGAAGAGTTAACTTGTTTGATCTCAGTTATGAAGCCTTTCTCTGACGTGTGATATAAACCACTACCGTGGTGTCAGTTCCACTTTGGAAGTTCGCAAATGTTTTGATGGGTGCCAGTGTGCCGGTTTAAAATTCCCCCTGTGCCGGAGCCAAGGAGTCCAGTCCTAATTGTAACAACATGTGTGCTGGTCAGAAATGCCAGGAGATGATTTTGGTGCAACAAAAGGTTTGGGGTTTTTTTCTTATTTCTCCTTGAAGGAATGAGAACTGTCGGAATTGAGGCTCTTCAAGCAAATCCTTTTTTGCCTTTGTAGCAGCTGGTGTTACAAGGTTTGTCCTGCTGCCCCAGGGGGGTGCACTGAGGGCAGGTGTGCTGTCCACTTTTGTATCCCTTCAGAAGAATGATAAAATGGAAAGCTCAGCACAGCTCAGGAATGAGTGGGCAGAATTTTAGTGCAGCCTTCTTGCACAGGTAGAGGTTGAAGTCTGGTGTGAGGTGCACTGGCATTGAGCACCCGTGGCAGAGAAAATAGAGATGTGCAATGTCTGACAGTGCCACTGCTGGGTTTGGCACAGGGCACTCTCCTCTGGCAACGTGGCCATTTCTGTGTTGGATCACCAAATTACCATTATGGGAGGAACTGGAAGACACCAATGTGCACCACTGAGAACGTTACAAAGCACAGTATAATTATCCACATTGCATTTTGGCCAGGATGTCAGGATTAGCACTCCCTCCTCTGTCAAGAAATGTTTAAATGAGCACAGATGGTCATGACTCAGCCTGGGGTTCCCATGGATGTGCAGATCATGGTGTAAAACACTTGGATAACCCCCAATCTGATTGTACATCCAGCCAGATGAAGCTGGGCTCTCAAGAGGTTTGAGCTTGGGGGAGCTTTCTGGGGAGGGACTCGGGTTCTCCATCAGCCATTTTTCTTCCTAATACCTTCTGTGATGCAGTGGAGTCTTTCCTTTGGGCCTGGATCCCATCTGAACTGAATGAGGAAAAACTAATGAGAGAGAAATGCAGAGACTGGCCTTGTGGCTGGAGGCACTGTGTTTCTTGATCAGCTGCATTAGGAACATGCTAGAGAGGAATGCTCATGGCAGCTTAACCTGTGGGGAAGTTCTGGAGCCCAGGAAAGGGGCAGAGCACTGTTGAATTCCCTCCTCTGCTGGGATTCTGTCTAGTCTGTATTTTCTGCTTAGGACAGTAGGACCTCAAGACTTACTGTTCCTAGCTCCTGTGAAGGTTCAAGTTTGGATTAAACACCCACACCTGGGGCCTGGAACTTCACCAGATGCACCTTACGTGGGATCTTTGAGCATCTGCATGTTCTGCACCAAGCTTGGTACTTCAGTGGGGTTCTGTGTAACACTGTCTTGGGTTTCTCTGCTCCCCTCCTGCACGTGCCATAGCTGAGTATAAGGCTTCATGCAGTTGCTGAGAGATCGCTAAATTTTTTCTGCATGCCTGATCCATCCCAGAAATCCTATGTTCAGCACTTTGGTGTTATATCAAGGTCTAACTCCATTGATATCAGCAGGTGTGGTGTGCAATGGACGAAGGGTTTTGCCAGTGGCAGTGCAAGCAGGGTGCAGAGATGTGGGCTGGTGTTATAGAAACCACATGCTTGTTAAGTGCCCTATTTCAGCTGGGCTGCATGGTCCCATTAAAGAGAGTGTTGGCTCCTTTGATGGGGCACGAGACTGGTTTCCTTCATGGTTTCCCTGATTTATGTCCCAGCAGAGAACTCAGATATCAGTGGGGAAAGACCAAGTAAAAAGAGAAGTGAGCCAAGCCTCACCCCCTCGGCATGATAGGACATCAGATCCTTCAAATCCTTGCCTTTGGCAGCCTGTTAGTTACAGGGTTTAAATCATGCCTTTTAAGGCTCAGGTAGAGACACTAAAAAGCTTGGGCCTTTCTGAATTAAGGCCTGGATTGTGTAGTTAGGGTCATTTTCTCAATTAGCTAAACATAAATCAGTCTAACGAGGCACTTGGGAGCACTGGGCAGGTTTAGTACCTTGTCTCTCCTGCCTCTGTCCTTACACTCCCACCTGCTTGTTTGGCTGATCAGTCAGTGATTTTATTTTTCCACGCTGCCAGTGCTGAGCAGTGGGTTTTGATGTCTAAAGTGGTTTTCACACCTGGCACATGAGTGCAAGAGGGGAGAGCTGGGAGAAATTGCTCTTGGGCAAGTAGGTAAAACTCGTGTGGCAGGGATTCAACAGTCTGAGCACTCCAAGCCACACCATCCTTCAGGGGCTGGTGTCCTGGTGAATAGTGGTGGGTGGTGACATGAGTGCAGAAAGTCCAGCAGCAGCAGGGATGTGATAGCTGGGACTGGGAAGCCACATGTTGGCACTGCAGCTCTGGAGCTGGGGAATGGAACACATGACTCCTTTTCCAGGAGCCTTTTGCACCATGTAAGGACTGTGCTGTTTTCTGGAGACTGATGGAAATTTGGGATGGAATAGGCTGCCCTGTACCCAGTTCAGCCCAGTGCTCTGGTGGAGCCTTGGGATCCAATTGTGCAGGCAGCAAGAAAAAAGCGTTGGAGGTTCCTCACAGCAAAAAATGAAACCCCGAGAGATGAAAGAGCCCATTTCATGACTTGTGGTGCCATTGAAGTGGATAAAAATCATCCCAAGGGAAAACTGCAGTGCTGGGGATATCCCTTCAGTCTCTTTCATTGTTTAGAATTGGGGAGGATGTGGGAGAATGAAGGAACAGAGTCACTTCATGGCTGAAGCCATGGCCTGCCTTCAGTCAGCTTTCAAGGGCTGGAGCTGAGTAAGACAAAAACACCCAAACACAAAAAAAAAAAAGCTTTATGGGCAACAAAAATTATATGTGTCAGAAATAAATCCCTGAGTGATGGGCCTTTTTAACTTCCCCACACAAGGTTTCTTTACTCTAGCAGTTGGTAAGTGCTGGTGTGATCCTCTGGTGTTTGTGTTACCAGGGCCGAATCTCACCCTTCAAATGTCTGTCTGACATTTCTCTCTGCAGTAACTGGTCCTTGTTCTGGTTTGCTGGTGTTTCCTGATGATGCAGAGCCAAACTGAGCCCCAAATCTCAGCCTGGGAAGGCACTGCTCTGAACTTGCTGTGGCCTGGGAGCCCTCAAATGCTGTGATGGGTTTGTAATGGAATGGCTGCAGACATGCAGCAGGAGCAGCTCTAAATGCACAATTGCTGACCTTGTGCTGCTCCTGCATTGGTCCCTGACTGTCCTGGAGGAGATCTCACCGAGTTATTTCACCTCCACAGCTCCCTCCTTCATCGAGCCACTAAAGGAGGAGCAGAGCAAAGGACAGAGTCACTCCATGAGCTACAAGCTTGGCAATGGTGTCTGGCTGGTGATGGATACCGAGTGAGGCTGTGGCTGCTCTGCAGCAACAGAAATAGGAGCCCTTCAGCTGCCTACCATGTAGCTAAAGGGCAGCTGACCGTCTTGGCCATTGCCTCCACGTGGACCACTGCATCCCCAGGAGAACTGAAGGGATGGAGAGCTGCATCCCCAGGAGAACTGAAGGGATGGAGAGCTCTGGGAGTTGTTCCTAGGCAGCAGGTACCAGCAGCTCCCTGCTGGTGTGACTCCTTCACAGGTAGGAGCTGGGTATCCTGCAGATGGTGTCTCAGCAAGCCATGTTACCTTACTCCCTTTTTCCATGTGGGAGGGAAACCCTTTGTGCTGCCACTGCCCTAGGAGGCCATCAGCCCATCAAGGATACCTCACTAGAAGTATTTGTTGACTGCATTTAAGAGTCACAGACTGTCCCTTGGTTTGATTGTTAGCTTGGGCAGCAA